AGAGAGAGAGAGAGAGAGAGAGAGAGAGAGAGAGAGAGAGAGAGAGAAGGAAACGAACATTTTGAGATCAAGATATACGAATAATCTATATACCTGATAACGAGATAACATACTCCATGCCTTACATAGAATTATCTAAGCGTAAGTAGATGTATCTAAGTAGACGTATTAATCGAAATCAATTAGGAAAATTCAATAGTCAATGACGAATGATGAAATTAAAGAATTCAATGAACAATGAAACTACGAACAACTTATAAACCAACACCGAATTATTATCCGCGTAGTTTCATGGAATCGGTCGACAATTTTTCTAAACTTATTAAACTGTGTCCTCGAAGTGTTTCGAAATTTTACAACTCTGGCTCGATGTTGCAATTTTTGTTTAGACTTTTCACTATGAAATTAATATAAAGCAATTATGGCGCGATGCAATGTTACAGTCGAAACAGTTTAAATTGAATTCTTCGAGTATATTCGATGTAGAAAGACACATTTCCTTTTAATGTTAAACGGGAAGAGGATTGTTAAAGGTTATGATTTCAAAACCGTGCTGTTGATTAAGAAAGTATTTCCATCCAGGATTTTGTTATGAACAAATGTACGTTAGTTACAAATATTAGTAGGTATGCCTTTAGATTGCAGTTGTTATTATTAACGAATATTGTGGATGGAAAATTCAAGAAACGAACATGAACGCAGGCCATTCGTCGTTGATCGAGCTATTTTCTCAATCAACTTGTACTTCTAATTAAAGTGGAAAGTGGCGCTGATTAACAAAAATCTCACTACGGTAGTTGGTAAATTTAAATTTGTTCAAACAGTGAACAGAGCTTACGAATAACGTCGTGACTTTTACGCGTACGCAAAAAAAAAACATAATTTCTATAAAGCGTTTAATAAAAATTACGTTAATTTCTTTTATATCGTTCAACTTCTCACTAATTAAGAATCGTTTCTCGTTTCCTTAAATTGACGATTTTTTTAAATTTCATGGCAATAAAAACTTATAAATTTGTTAAATAAATTGTCCGAGACATTCGAGACATTAAACAATTGAAATCTTTATTTCGAAAGAATTTTAAACGTAATAACTTAAACATCTTTAAACAATAATTCTACAGGCAACGTTAAAATATTGTCTAAATAACATGTTAATAATTTTATTCTTTAACGATGATTTATTTCCCCAAAGAAAAACTTTTGTATAGTTACCGTGTGATAAGACAAATGCAAATATTTATTTACCGTAATATCGTTTATTTATACAAAGAAAATATTAAAAAAAAAAAAAAGATTATTCTTCATTCATTAATTTATTTCTTTATTAATAATATAGTAGTTTCCCGGTAAACTCTTAATTGTGATAGTCTAAATAGGTGATTAAAATAAGTCACTAGCGCAAAGATAATTTGAAAGGAAAACAAATTTCAAATTTATTTCAATAAATAAGTAACCAATAAAAGTAATAATATATTCCGATAAGATAATTGGCGGATCGTATCGTTACTGATTCAACAAAATTTCTAGTAAATGTTATTCATTTGAAAATTCAAAAAGGTTCACTTAAAAAAAGAGTAACATCGTCGATTAACTTGTATTAGCGAATAAGCAGGAATAGTTGCTTATCATAAATCTTTTTAACCGTTTCTTTTTTCCCTTAAATACTAAACTCAATTGAATAGGTGCATATGAAATAAATTGAGAAACTACTTTGTTCGATTATATAAATAAAATAGTAAAATTAAGTAAACAATATGTAAACATTCTGGAGATGGGTGTTCATTCGCATGTAGGACCATGTATATTAAGTATGTACGTATACATATAACGGGTGATACGGATTCTTTCTGTGCCGTTTAGTTCGCGGGGCTTCCCCTATTGACATTGCTTCTCGTAACCGATGCGTTTTATGGCGTGCGCGAATGCGTACTATGCCGATCAAGAGCTGTTAGTTGCGCGAGAACGAGAAAGGTAAAGGGGATTCCCTTTTTCAACGGCAGAAATCCACTAAATCGGCTGCACACCAAACGGTGCTTCTCAACTTTACAAGATTCCTTTTTGTGATTGTTACGACAGTTACATTTATTTCTGCTTACTATGTTCGATGAATTGCGATCCAAATCTCCTAACACTTTTCGAACACTTTTGTGGGTTGAGAAACACTGATTTATCTCTTACGAATTTTGTTGTTACTTTGAAATAAATTCTACGGAACGTTGGATTCCCAGGAGAACGTTCGAAAATTTCTTTCAATCAGATTCTTTAGACGTTAACATTAGAAAAGAAATTAAAGGAATCGAAGTTTCTGGACTTGAAGAGCGGTGCAATAATAGGCGCGAGGTGTACGGCATTGAGATAATAGCAGAAGAAAAGTAAATCTACTCTTGTAAAAGTTAATTGATAACTAGTGCTATATAGTAACGTTACGCCAGAGCAGATTTTTAAAGTGTACTATTGAGTTTTATGTATTCGATGGTAATTTTTGAATTATGGACTGATGTTGCGTATCTTCCAGTTTTAAATATACAAATGTTTTTGTATATCATTTACACCGTGACCATAAATACCAATAAATTATTAGATAAATTGTCCGATCGGTAAACTAAATATTTACAATTTTAATCCTCGATTAATGTGTATAACGTATTGTCAGTCTTTCATTTTGTTACATTAAAAAAAGTAACGTTAAAGTATCTACAATTTATTCCTTTATTTAATACAACTTATAACACGTTAAAAGTTATATTAAAGTTGTGTGTGTAATATGTGCTTACCAAGATAGCTAATAATTTTTAATTTTTCTTCCAAGTCAACCGCCATCAGCCGAGCACCGTCCTTTTTAAGTCCATAACAATAGTACCACGCGAGAGAATTGAAATAAATTGTGTTATTTGGAAGTTTCACTTTTTCGTAATAGATTATCCTTTGGTGTCAGCTTTGTTTCGGTAAACTGAAATATCGTTACGGAACGTGTAAGCAATTTTCGAAGAATCTTGCGGCGAATCGTCAGCGATTGAAATCGTTTAAACGAAGGCCTCTATAGATATGTCATCGTTACGGAATTACTACGAGAAAATCTCTATTATTGTAAAACATTTCCAGGTCGCAATTATAGTAGATATCTTTGGCATCGAAGCGAATGAAAGTTTTTAGAAGGATATTGCAATTACTGGTGGGAAATATTTTGCAAAACTTAACGACGAAACAATTTATTGTCAAATAATCGATTGTTTCGCAGTTCTACTATTGGATTATCGAACAATTTATTATCAATTAACCAATTGTTTCGCATTTCTACCATTGAATTGCTGGTATATAGATCGAAAGGTGCGGATTTGTTTAACTTGAGTTGAACTTCTTCGGATAAGATGGCAAGTATTGCGAATGGAAATATCGCTAGTATAATTGGCCCGCGTGCGAAAAAACAGATTAACGTGAAGTGATGGCGATACCGATGGTCTTCTTTCGAAAACTGAAAATATCAATACATCGAAAGAGGAACTCGCGGTTGTGATATGCTATTAGAATTAAGTTACAATTAGTTGCTTCACTAGTTAATTAATTGGACGATCGTCCTAACCGGTTAGTGCAGCCTCATTGTCTTTGATTTGTTGTTTGTCATTTCTTTTATTCTTTCCTGTGTTATTTCTAATAAATTCACGGATTATTTTGTTTAAATGTCTCACTGTTTATTTATTTAGCCCTGTTTATCAATCTGTTTCCATACTCCACGACGTACAGGATATAAAAAGATTAACGGTCACGATTCCTAGGTATGAATTTACACATTTGGATCGGTGGACGTTTGTCGGAAAATTCATTTTTTTAATTTGTTCAAAAATTCAAATTTATTGAAATACATTTAGCGAAAGGTTTCTTTTTAACAAATATCGACCGACCGCGATGCGTAGATTCGTACATGAGAATTGTGTGAGCATTAATTTCGAGCATCCTGTACGGATTAATTGCTAAGAATTTTTCCTTTATTAAATATCCCATTGTGTTACTAATAAGCGTTGAGGTTATTTGTTCTCGTGTAATTTATTGGCAAATGTGTAAATGCGACATTCGATATCTCCATTGAAACTGATGAAACGAAATTAATAAGCATCGTTGATTCGCGAAAAATTACAGCGATACAGCACTTCGTAATTTGAACTTTTCTCTCAAAGCATTCGCGTGTTTTTGAATGAAAAATTACGATGCTCATGATGAAAGATCAATTTTAAACTGAGGATTCGTAACGTTTAGACGGCACTTCGTAGAACGCAATTCGTTTGTTTTTTTTTCAGATGTTTTCAAAGGCACCACATCTTTTTAAAATAAATTTCATAGATAAAGAGTCAAAGAATAGAGTAATAATTTTTATTACATTTATTAGATTTTTTGGCAATCAACTAACTCGCGTTCCGAAGTGTACAATCTATGATTTTAAAGGCGAAGCATCGCGAGTATAAATTGACATTAACTATTTCCCTTTTTATTTAATTTTTTCAATATTCAGGTGTGCATATTTAAAAGAAGGTATATCAACATTCTAATATCTAAAGGGCACACTTTTTTTTTTATCGAACCTCTATTTTATTTATACTCTACTGTATTAGTAAAAACAAGTTTATTGAATTATTCATAATCTAACACTTAGGTATTCATAGCCGGGTATTTTTTACGACTTCAACAATGTTCACACGTCACAGTAAGTAGAGTTAAATATTGATTTAATGGCGATTTCACGGTCCTATACTAATTCTAAGTACTCCTATACATAATCCCTAAGTTGTTCATGATTCTTAATGTACAAAAGTCTAAACTTTAATTACATGCTTTTATTTTTCAGCTGAATTATCATTAGCATAGACCAACAAAGTCAGCTATTAAAATTGATTTAATAATTAAAATTTCCCAACTCGTTTTTTAACTTTTGTAACATTTTTTTGACGAGTTTTTCAATGTTACACTTATTAATATTATGTTCTTTAAATAACTTTATTAAATGTTACTTTCTGTAACAACGACAAACGAAATGAGAAAGTCAGTTTAAACTCACTTTTCTCCCGTTGTACTTAGCGTATTTTAGTACTTTTGTTTGTTTTCCATCTGCGATCTTGATTGCCTAATCACTATAGAATAATTTAACACGTCTTTAACGAAAGAGTGGTGCCGATTTAAGAACATTCCACTAACGTTTTCCATGTCTGTATATCTTTTGATTTTGATCTTGTGTTTTAAAATATGTAACAAACAGTTGAGGTTTTAACTGTTTCTTCCTTATAATCACTCGATCCTCTTCTACGTACTTAAACAATTTCTAACTACGCCAGAGCATCAAAAGTATGACGTGTAAGAGTCACTCTGTATAGCGAAAAAGTTAAAAGAATTACTTTGTCGTCCAATGTATAAAATACAATTTATACGTTGTCGTTATTTTCTTTTCTATTGTATTATAAATATTAAACACTTTCTGTTTTGAGTTTCCAAATAATTTGTGAAAACTTTTGGTTTACTTGAAAAAAACTGGTTGGCAAAACCGTTTCAGAGTTTGTTGAAGTCATTACCGATCCGAAATGTATTACTTAATTCTGAAAGTCTACTTTTAACTCCTAAGTCCATCAGTTCGTTAATGATATTTCTGTCGTTCTTGTTACACGATGTTTTTGTTATCAATTGTAACCCTTTTATATAATTATGTTACTCAGCGCTATTTCTCACGATATCAATGTACGTTAATGCACGAAACAACAGCAATAAATACGATTCATAAGCGATCATTATCCAGTATTGATAATGATAATTAATTATAGTTAGGTAATCGAGCTGTGAAACTTAAGAGTTGAAATTAACGAAGCCAATAACTGTTAAATTAATTTTAACTAATTTCGATTTCGAGAAATTGACTAACTTAAGGTATGATTAAAAATTAGTGCTGCATCACCGAAACGAAGGAGAAATATTATTTTGCTTTTGAACGCGTTAAATTCATTTTGAAAAACAAATCGAATTTAATTTCTGGTACGATATTTATAGCTCGTGTACATATGGCAAATGAAACTCTTCGATTGCTTCGTAAATTTCGTTTTTTGTATTCGTTTTTGCAAAATTGTAGTTCTTCTGCTATTTTTACGACGAGAAAGTATCGTCAGCGTTTACTATGTTCGTAAACGATACAATCACGCCTACAACGCCCACAAGTTTTTGAGGTCATAACCTTTGTTCTAAGTTTAATTGTTGCTGCGTTCTTGCGTCTATCAAAGGGTCATAGACGACCTTGAAAACAAAGAAGAAGAACAACCATTTGCGAATTTCGAATAATATCGTTCGACGCGATGATACACGGTAATTGTGATATAAGAAAAAACAACTGTAGACGACGCGGACGGGAGAGAAAACGAAAAATTACCAATTAATTAGTTAGTTAACAAATATATAGAAGTAGGTAATTTCTTAGATGATTACGAGAGTAAGATACAGGGAATATATTATACATGCGCGTGCATGCAGACAAAAATTATTAGTTGTACGCGCGTGTGTGTGTATACAATTAATCGAGGCAAAATTTTATCCACGAAACCGATAAATGATTAAGGTAATTTATTAAAAATTGTATTTATCGACACAATTAGAGGGTGATAGAGTGGTATACAATATGTATAATTAATTATACATTAGAATAATTATCATATTGACTAATTAAATGCATACATTGTACGTGTATACATTAACAGCAGCAAAGTAAATGATGTTCTTGTATACATAAACGATAATACTATATCAACATATGTATATCATATACGCAAATATATATATACATATATATTTGTATATATAGATATATTTAATATTGTATACACATTAGTGAATGTTCAATGTTGAAATAAAATGCATACACGTTGTTTACACCATACAAGACTCCTTTTCTGTGTATTATATTATTTTATACCTCTCACTACTAGGTCGTGTATACAGTGGCGGCCATATACTCACGTACAGTTAATAAAATTAAATATTATTTCCTGTACACTTATACATTAAACAAGTATAAGAAAATCAGTTACATTTTTTATAAGTTTACAATATACGCAATAAGATGTCAAAATAGCTGGATAGATCCATTCCTTTGGCATGTATTCTTCGGCGAATGGAAGCAATACATTTTTTACAATATCCAAATACACGTATCGGTCCATGATTCCAGTTATCCGATGAATAGGACGTGTACCTTTTACTATCATAAAAGTGTTGTTATTAAATTCTTCTCCTTTGCGATGTCTCACGTATACTTTGCCATCAGATCCAAATCGATTAAATTTTGATTCATCTGTAAAGATTACTCTGGACCACTGCTGGGGCATCCAGTTTAAATGTTCTTCCGCGAAAGCGATCCTAGCCCGACGATTTTTTTCTGAAATGAACGGTTTCTTTCTAGCAACGCGTCCGTATAATTGAACCTCATTAAGTCTTCGCTGGACAGTTTTAATACTTATTTCTTCATAAAGATCTGTTGATACTTCATCGTGGATGGAAACTGCAGTTTTGAATCTGTCCGCTTCAGATAATCGGTGATACTTGCGATCAGTTCTTTGATCAGTTTTTCGAGGTCTTGCTTTACGAGGAACATCGTCTGGCGTTCCATGATGCTTAATATGTTGTATATTGTTTAAATTTTTAAAAACATTTTCAAAGTACTTATTTTCTCGAGATAAGTAAAATTTCTACTGCGGATATGTACATCAAGGTTTAATACTCATAGAAATAAATTGTTGATACGACTATCTGAGCTCTGTAGAAATAACTCAGGTTTTAAAGTTAAAATATAAAGTGTACGTAAGTATATGACCGCCACTGTAAATAACACGAAGGCTATCTAGACTATTATCCCAGACTATTTTCAACATTTTCATTCTCACGAGGAAATTCGTTGTCTATCGAAACAACTACAATCTTGTGGTTAGCTACGATGGGGTTGAACATCCTCTTTGTATTATACTGAGAGAAGCGGACAAACAAAAACATTGCTCTTTAAAACCCCACTGTGGATTTCTTAGTAATAAAGTAATCGATGAAACAATGAATAGCTTTAAGTAGAAATAAATTTTGACAATAGTTTCGCAATTGTTGGATGTTTGATTACACCATCCTTCTTTATAGGTCGGAAGGTATAAATGAAAAATACTTGATTTACTATAATACCGACACGGGTCGTAAAACGATGAATCATGGGCAAAAGGAGAAGGAGAGACTCACAATTGCTAAGATAAACTAAACGCTGCTGCTGGAAGCAATCGAAATCATATTTTACGATGTTTACGGACAGTTTGCCTGATATTTAAGACTCGTGTTTTCTTTCTTCCTCGACTCTCTGAAACTGTCTGAAATACCGAGGCTCACGTGAACCCGATTCGTACGTCAGTATGTGCCTGCTGCACCATCATTCCGTTAGGTGGCACGTCGGTGGTATCGTATATTCGTCGAATTTTTGAATTTTGAAAATGCCCGATTTAACCGTATCGTTCGCACTGGTTGCGCGGCATTAGCTCGATCGACGTCGCGACGTTCGGACATTGTCGTGGGAAAGCAGTGTAACTTTTAACGAATTTAAACATTTCTAATTATCGATATAATAATAAATACAAAAAAATGTATACGATAAACAATACCAAATTTATTTGAGTGTTTACCACGTCGCCGCAGCATCTTTTATCTCTGTTTTGATTTTAAAAACAGACGAATCAAACTTCTAAAGTTTTTATCAACGATACACTAAACGCTACACTCGGTATAATAATTTGTAATAAAAGTATTCTTGAAACAAAAATAAATACTATGTGAAATGTCAAGAGATTCCTTGTTAGTTACATTGAAAGTATAGGAAGTGGATGTTCTTCGATCATTGAGTGAAAATTGGAGGATCCCGATGAAACCAACAAACTTTTCGAAATTGTACTTTGTCCCGATGTAAAAGTGTATCGAGTTTAGAGGACTGTCTTCTTTGAAGTTCCAGAAAATAAAAAAAATGCTGTATAAAAAAACACTTTTTCAATGTCGTAGACGAGGTCTGAAGAATTTAATTTACGAAGATAGAGAACGAGTATACGAACAACTTTTTGAGAAGAAAAAGTAATCGAAAACAAATGTTCGCGAACGACCAATGGATTGTCTAACTGTAACATGCGAAATTGCGTCAAAACACATAAGACGACTCTAAAGATCGAGGAAGACAAGAATAACAAACAATGCTAAATATATTCTACAAAACGAAGATACAAGGAATTTGATTTAAGATACACTTTCCTCGAAGAAATTGGAACGACTATTCAAACAAGGATTTTACAGACGCACTTTAGAAGTTTTTCCAATTGAGTGGGGAAAGTAATTACGACGAAACCATGAATTACTACCGAACTATTTAAAGAATCTTCGTTCACGACATTTAACTTGGAGGACCAAGATAATATAATTAACAATTGTCGTTCTGTAGAAGATATCCGAATGTTGTGGAAAATTATTGAATCCCGCATTCGAATAATTACGTTTAAGGAAATTGTTTCACCGATAGACACCGGTGAAATACGTTAATAAAATCAAAACAGAAGTAGTCCGTTTCCAAGAGACATGACTTTTAACGATTCATCGACCAATTACGTTTGCAATTTATCGTCCTTTCATTCGCATTATTCTCATGTGCATGGATGGATTTCCCTTCTCGTTTGTATCTTTGGTTCGATTGCAAACATTTTGAACATTCTCGTTCTAACGCGACGGGAAATGCGATCACCAACGAATTTAATTTTAACGGGATTGGCCGTGGCTGATTTATTTGTAATGATCGATTACATTCCTTTTTCCATTCATATCTACCTATACCATCGATCAAGAAGAGACACCTTTACCTACGGATGGGCGTCTTTTGTGTTATTTCATTCGCTCTTCTCACAGGTAACAACCGATTCACTTATCTCACAAGTAGAATTACAGACGTTGCCTTCTCTTGATGATTTTGTTAACGATAAGAGTTCAAAAGTAGAAACGAATGAAATATTTTTCTAATCTAATCAAATGTAGTAAAACCGTATATTTCCTATCACAACACTGCAAATATATAATCATGCAAGTATTTACATATTTTCTTCTGCAAGATAAAATCTATTTACAATAATGCAGTACTACATTGACATAGTGAGTGTACCGGCCAAATAAAGACACATATAATTAACAAAACTTGAACCTTGGGAAAATGCAAGAAGAATTGTGGTGGTGCAACGTCTACCAAAAGAAAAAGAAACGGACAGTAACTATTAAAAAGTATTTCTACAATTGTATTTCAATGATTTGTTCAATGGAGAAGTGAACAAATAACCGTAAATGGGGCAATTTTTGAAAAAGCTCGAAAATTTGGAAACTTGTAATATTTACTTCTTTAAATTTTTTTTTTTTTTTTTTTTAAATATAAAAAAGGTCTCAAGTATTAAGTAACATTGAATGTCAATCACTTATATTCTGTAAAAATTCTTTTATCTGAACATATCTACCGCGCGTTCAAAGTGGATTTAGCATCTTTTCAAGTTATTTGGGATTCTATTTTCTATAAAAGTATCCGTTTTTAATATGTATCAATGATAGGGGTGAAAATTATGTAAACTGAAATAAAGTCAAAAAGAAAAACGGTATATACAGTGATTTTGATATTCCAGACAGAAATTGTTAAAAGAAAAGCAGAGAAATGAATATTCAAACTTTGATCAAACCTTTCAAATGATAAAAAGTATCAGAAATAAATTCATAAGGCTTAATTTTCGCAGGTGTGTCACACAATCGCGATTTGTTTAACTTTAATATTGGGCGTATGGAGATACGTGGCAGTAGCAAGACCACAGAAAACCACAGAGTGGTGCAGTTACAAAAGAACTACTTTCGCGATTCTGACGGCGTACGTTTTCTGCCCTGTGCTTTGCGTGCCATTGTATATTACGACGAAAGTAAGAGAGCAAGTGGAGATTCTAGATTCCGACGGAATGAGTATTCAAAATACAAATCTGATCGGTGAGCACTACTCTACTTAAACACATACTTTTCATGGTTTTACGATTTGTGAAAAAAACGTGCATTTATCAGTATTTTTTAATGTTTTCGTAAGAGAACACTTATCCCTCCGAACAGAAATTGTTATTTCTTTGAATATAATAAAAACGATATTCTTCGTAAACGTAAACTATGTATATTCTAAATTATGGATGAGAGTTTCATATAAAGAAGACATTTGATTTCATATATAACACATGACACAATTCACATTAAAATTATTACTCGAAAGGTTTTCGACTGCAACGTTTCTTTCAAGTATTAAATTACTTTTAACATTTTTTAATTATAATTATAACTGCTGTTGCATCAGAAAAAATGTCTTCTTATATATAAAAAATTCTTCTTTAATGATTTATAACTGCGCTTCCCAACACCCTTTTTATATCATACTACACTGAGAAAAGGCTAACGTTTATGGTGCACTTTTTGAAATAACAGAGACTAAATCGATAATACGATACAATAATTTGTATTATATTACAATTATAAATCGTTTACACTCTACAAAATTTACAATGTTCAAATGTAGGAATACTTTTAAAAGTAAATAAAATTTCAATTTTACAGCGAAAGTTCAAGTATTACAACATTTTCTGTTTCTAGATTCATCGTTAGTAAACGGAACAAACACGACTCTCTACTTTGTTAAATTAACAGATACTGCACAAAATCACAACATACTGGAAGAATTGAATTTTTGGATCTATAGTATCGTTATCAAACTTTTCCCCTGCTTCGTGTTAACGATTGTCATTTTGAAACTCGTTCGAGTTCTACTGCAAGCGAAACGAAGAAGACGGAAACTAACTAATTGTAAGAATATTCACATGAAAAATCTGGATGGAATGAAGTGTATTAGACGAATGAAGAAGGAAAGACAAACCGATAGAACTACCATGATGTTACTTGTTGTTTTGCTCCTTTTTCTATTGACAGAATTTCCTCAAGGAATTCTGGGACTTTTAAGTGTGTTGTTAGGAAGAACTTTCTTTCAAACTTGTTACATGATGTTAGGTCAGTATGAAAAAACTATCAAAAATCTTTTTTTTTTCCAGCCAATAATCTGAGCAATACTTAAAGATTTATTAACTTACAGATGACCTCATGGATACGTTGGCCCTTGTAAATTCTGCTATAAATTTCATCCTTTATTGCACAATGAGTAGACAGTTCAGAAAAACATTCAACGAACTGCTTTGCAAAAATTGGAAAATCCCCAGGAACGATGGGAAACAAATTGTTATAAAACGCCATAAAAGTGCGGGTCCTAATCACACGGTAACACAGGTGACGCTGATGTAGCTAGCTAAAAAATGTTGAATTTCTCGTTCTTTGATATTTCTGACTATATCGTACATCTAACAGTTTATAATTTTAATTTAATTAATATATTTTAGTAATAATAGGTTTTTCATTGTTGAAGCACCTGACGTGATATCATAAACAAGTGTTCATTTTGTACAATACTTTGTTCTTCTCATACATACTAATTATGAAATTTGTTAGTAACTATATTTTTAATTAATAGTTATTATAGAAAAGTAAATTAAAAATGTTAATTTCACTTAAGAAGGCACTTAGACATGTAGCAGCTTTACTGAACAAAGTATGTCAAAATAACACCAAAAAATTAATAGGGTCGAAATAGGGTGTCAAGGAGATTATTTTTTCTAAATAAACTCTGTGAATTAGAAAACTCTGGTTATAAATTGGGATTAGAATACCGATATACCGATTTGCCGAGAATGTCTTCCCTTTTATTGTTAATTAGGCATTACGATACCAGTAAGTAACAAAAAATTTGTATAAATTTACCCGTTGCAACGACACTTACAATATAATAATATAACGTTAATAAGCTAACTGTGATCAATCCTAAAATTACTCTAGAAATATTAGCAATAGAAATAAATTAACTATTTATACTTTTTTTACGTTTCGGTTCGAATACGAGACCTCATTACAAGACCTTATTCTTTTGCTGTTATGCCAAATCGAACAACTACTAAATCTAACAGAATTAATAATAAATAGCCTACATTAAGCCATAAGATTGAATGAACTTTATTTACAGGGTTGCGATGTCGTATAACTTGACTATAATACTTAATATACTAATCCTACAATTGTTTGCTTTTTATTAGGTAAACTGGAAAGTAATGTCGTTTCTTTTACATTAAATTCAAACAGATTTTTAATAAATTTCTATTTTTAATCAGTTATGCAATCGCCATCGTTATCAACAGCCTTTTGTCATCTATTGTGCAGATTTTCAATGCCAGATCGATAAAAATCAACGAGTTGAGTGGTAAACAAGTTTTTAAACAAGTATTTAAAAACGATGTTACTTTCTAGTTTACCTAATACATTCGTTTAATTTTTCCTTCATATTACTTTGTATTTGCATTTGTTTTTATTTGTTTTCATCATACTCCGGCATCCCCATTAATAATGGGGCCTTTTGAGCGCTCAAACTTCAATGTAAATATAACCTGCCTGCATAATGACTAATGTATATGTACAGTGGGTGTAGAATGTATTCGTACACCGATCAATTTCCCAAAGAACTTTTGTGTGAAATTGCAGTTTCTTAACATCTTTTTTTGTAATCAATGATATTTTACATATTCTCGAAAGTCTCTATGATAGATATAGTCCAAACAACATTTACTAGTTAATATAATTTGTGAAATTAACAAAAAGATGCGAAAAGTGGAGAAAGTACAGAAGCAATAAGTATTTGTACGATTCTTATGAAGAACCATTTACAGCAGAGTTTGTAACGTAAACACATTAGTTTATTGCTTTGTGCGAATTAGAAAACATAAAATTTCCAGTAAACTACTTTTAAACAATTGTCCGAATACTTATTGCTTCAACATTTCCATCGATTAGTTGCTTTTTTCTTGTTAATTTCGCAACTTGCATAAATAGCTATTTTTTTTTTGTAATCTATCTATTTTAGACATTTCCGAGAATATGTAGAATGTCGATGTTTATAAAAAATGAGTTAATAAATTACAATTTTACACAGTTGTTTTTTTGGAAATTGATCGGTGTACGAATACTTTTTTCACCCATTGTATGATAAATGTAAAAATATATAAAATATCAGCAATAAAATGAAATTATTTTTCGAACAACCCAATAAAAATTTTAATCATGTTCATGTGTTTGTTGTATGTGTCGTGTCCTTAAATATAGTCAGTCTTATAAATATTCATGCCCTTTATATCTATCGACAAAATTTGTTTAAACTTTTTCGTTATCAATATATTTATATGTAAAGTTTATTCGTGTACATATTTCTAACGAAAAATTTATTTGGAAATGTCGAACCTATCATTTAATTAGAGTTTCTTGAATAAACAGAGGGTACGAATACTTATGGGACTGACTGTGTAAGTATTACAATACTCATTGCAAAATCAGAATTCGTTGGTTATTTAACGTGAATTTAAACTTGCTACTAAAAATTCAACAAAAACGCAATTATAATGAAAGATAGGTTTATGAAAAAATCAATCAAATTGGATAAAATGATAGCAGAAAATATGCAACCGCGACCAATTACAGTAACACGACGCCATTCTCAACTGTCACAAAGTTTCGAGTTGAATAAAGTTTGTATTAATTTTGTTCGTTTCATCGTGACACTGGTACGTTATGAAACCATGTAACATACTTACGATCGATAAGAATTCGCACAAAAGACAGTAAAAATATGAATAAATATGATACCGTTTCGTTTGAATAAGTTGCAAACTTCACCGTTCTTGATGAGATTCTGTTTGAATCAAACGCCAAGAATTGTAGCATCGATGACTCGAAATTCCCGTTCAAATTTCAATCAGAGTCCTGTAACAGGAAAACGTGATTAGTTTAAAGCATGTTTGTTCACACAAATACAGTTATATTATAATAAAAGAACAGTCGGACTCGAAATAACCCGTAAAAGACTGTAATTTAAGTTAGAGGCATAGTATCAATTAACATCGAGTAAAAAAGACGCGCGAAACCGATAGAACTTTTCTCGCTATACTCATCGAATTTATAATTGAAACGATACCAATATTAGATGAAAGCACTATATAGAGATAGAGTAAACGAAAGTAGTAATAGCAATTAGCAGAGATCAAAAGACAGCAGGTAGAAAATAAGTACCAAGTTAATTGCGAAACGCTCAGCACGTCGTATCGCGCCAATTTCCACGGAACGAATGACTCCTTCGGCTCGCGCCGCCAAGCGGCGAGTGGGGGCAACCCCACTTCTCATTTAAGTTTGTATTTCCAAAAGTCCTTCGTATCTTAAATAATTTTGAGGAAAGAAGGAAATAAACATATTAGACAGATGCGTCGATTAATTTCCCAATGATTTATCATACCTTTTTTACCGTCACATATTCTATGTCGCTCGTCTTATTATACATCCCAATGATTAGACTAATGTATCATTAGATTCACAAGTAATTTGTATAATATAAATATCATAATTTTGTAACGACACGACTAATATTCGATACGTAAATATTTATATTCGTCTTTACTAACGTTCTCAGAGTCATCGTTCATCGTCCTTGTATAAAGAGTGCGCTTCGAAACAATCAATTTTTTACCAAGCCGGTAAATCAGTTTGCGAGACACGATCGGTCGGTAAAGTGTTAAAATACGTATAATAAGCTTCAAAAGTTGATAGGATAAATCGGAACTGGACTAAATTTTTTGTAGAGTCTACAATGCAGACTGATCAAAACTTTGACTATAATAGTCACGGAGTTAAAAGGTCAGCGGCATGCTCTAATGTAATGCATGGTTATTTCTATACGTTTCTAACATGTTGCAAACCTTAGACTTACAAGGAGAGTGCAAGACCTTCAACTCACCACTTTCATTGAAACTTTGTACACTTATAGATTTCGCTACTCTGATTACGAATATATACCATTATAGGGGCAGACATTCAATAGTTTTTGAGATATTTGTAATTAAAGTTTTATTATTACCTTAATGTACGAGTTTAGTTACAACAATCGTCAATTGTAACGGTGGCGCACCGATAGAGTACCAGACTCGTACGCCGCTTGACCGGGGTTCGAATCCTTTCTTGTAGAAGTTTTTTTTTTGTTCTAATTAATTCATTTTCATACACGAACATTCAGAATGGTAAACTATATAGTAAAAATATTAATCCTCCGATAATATATTATAAAGTAATCGAAAAGAATTCATTTCGAAGCGTGCAAGCCGCCTGATCGGCTCTAACAATAATATAAACAGTCACCATAAACGTAAGACGAGAAGTTCGACGAAGCAAAGAAATAACGCACGAAGATTCTGTGGGGGATACATAGTATGAGCCCAACGAAAGAAAAATTAATTAGAACAAAAAAAAAACTTTTACCAGGAAGGATACGAACCACGGTCAGCGGCGTACGAGTCTGGTACTCTACCGGTGCGCCTCCATTACAGTTGACGATTGCTGCAACTACACTTGTACATCAAGGTAATAATAAAACTTTAATTACAAATATCTCAAAAGCTATTGAGTGTCTGCCCCTATAATGGTATATATTCGTAATCAGAGGAGCGAAATCTATAAGTGTACAAAGTTTCAATGAAATTGGTGAATTGAAGGTCTTGCACTCTCCTTGTTAGACCAATCAAAACGCTTAAAAGAATCATGCACGTACACTTGAGTTCACCAGAGTCCATACTGCTTCGCGCAGGTTGGAAGGTAGTGGGGGAACTTGTTGAACCTCGATATTCTCACTCCGCGGATACCTATCGTCACCGACGCCGCGTCACTGCGCGTCAAGACGCAGCGCGCATGTGCGTGAGAGCCGTGAGAGGGAGAGTACAGCCAATCAGGGCAAGGATGTGCAGAAAGAACGAAAACCGGTTCTCCGGCAGTTATGCTCTTTGGTGAACTCAATAATATGTATGTACGATTGATGTACGATTGTTGCCTGACAATTGTTGCTGATCATTGCAGATTGTTGCATGATAATAATATTATTCGTGTATCCATGCTTCAAATATGAAGTATGAATGTCATGAAATCATTTCGAGAAGCGTTATCCAACGCAAAACATGTGTTGATATTAACTGGTAGCGGAATTTCGGCGGAATCAGGTATTCCCACATTTCGTGGTGCCGGTGGTTTTTGGAGGAAGTATCAAGCCCAAAATCTTGCAACCCCAGAAGCATTTACGGCAAATCCTTCTTTAGTCTGGGAATTTTATGAATACCGCAGAAGAGTGGCAAACGAAGCTAAACCCAACAAAGTATTTAGATAATATAACTACATAATATATTTCATTTATTTAACGCATTCTAATACTTTTATTGTGTTTACTGTGGTATTTGTAGGCTCATGAAGCAATAGCATCTTTTCAAGATCGTGCCTTAAAAGAAGGTAAAAATGTCACCATTATAACGCAAAACATTGATGAACTTCATCAGCGTGCTGGTGCCAGTAACGTGGTGGAACTTCATGGTTCGCTTTATAAAACTCGTTGCACAGTTTGCAATGAGGTTGCTGTAAATACAAATATTCCCATATGTCCTGCATTAGAAGGAAAAGGGTAAAATATGATTGTAAAAGCTATTACATAGATTCTATGCTGTAAATATTATTTATATTAGTATATATAGATCTCCAGATCCAAACATTATGATTTCTAATATTCCAAAAAATGAATTACCTTTATGTCAAAAAGAAAACTGTAAAGGTTTGCTGAGACCTCATATTGTATGGTTTGGTGAAAATTTAGATGAATATGTATTAAAGGAAGCCTGTAAGTACATTTCAACAATATATACTTTATAACAATATATTACAATGTTGTACAAATAGTGTAGGTAAAAATTTGTTGTGTTAATAAAATATTGTTCTTGTTTAAAATACTAGTTAATGCTGTAGAAAATTGTGACACTTGTTTGGTCATTGGTACATCATCGATTGTATATCCTGCAGCAATGTTTGCACCACAAGTAGCAAATCGTGGTATACCTGTTGCTGAATTTAACTTAGAATCAACTCCTGCTACAAGACACTTTATGTAAGTTAAATTCGGAACTATCTAACATGCTCTATGAATAGAATATTAATACAGTTTTTGTAGAAAAACATTAAAAATAAGTAGTATTTTAAAGCGTTTAAAAGCATTATATCTCTCAGATTTGGAATAATTCTTTTAAATAGAGGTTAATATGCAAAATATTCATTCATGGTCATCCAGATCTTCCATCGAGTTTTTTGCACTGAATTTATCTGTAACAGAGTAATAATTCTTTTTATTTGCTTTGAAGGTATCATTTTGAAGGACCCTGCACTATTACAGTAACAGAAGCTTTAAATCCTTAAATCTACAAATGTGTAAATTTAAGACCTTCTGACCTCTTAACTGTATATTTACCTCGTACTAGACATAGTTCAGTACTAAGTCCTAGCTGGTTCAAATATTCCAACCATAATTGTTGTTTTGTTGAAAGAACATCTCTAGGACCTTTTACCTCCACAATTTTATGCTATAAAAAAAATGTATGTAGATAATATGTATGCTATACAAAAATGTATGTAGATAAACTGTTCTTATTTGAAAAATATAAAATTATTTATTTGCAATATTATTTATTGTGTAAATGTCTACCTGTTTAGTGTTATAATTCCATACAATTAAATCAGGAAATCCAGCCTTCCACAGTTTGAAATTTTCTATAAGTCGTTTACAAATTCCTATGATACCATGGACTCCTATACAACATACTATTTCCTAAAAGCAAAAATTATTTTGTTATTTTTTCATATATTCTTATATTATACAGTATATTGTGAAAAGTCATACGAAAAAAATGCATACTTTCAACTGTGAACTACTTTTCAACAAGCTTGAGTTCATTATAGATTGATATTGACTAAATGTTTTAAATCTTGTTTCCATGTACATGCTTAAAGATTCTGGATCGAAATCATTAATTATCTGAAGTTTCATGTCCAATTTCTCTTTTCTATTTTCATAGAAATGTTCTGTGAATAAATCGTCTGGTGCATGTTGATATGGAGTTACGAACGCTCCAGGAATATGAATATCATAAAGTTCTTCCCAAAATAAAGTAACGAATAAAAGAATTGGCAATTCGCCTTCACAGTGTAATGCATTTGAAAAACCTTGTTCACAATAATGATATGATGCAAGCATTTCTACTGATCCATACATTTGACTTTCGCTATTACTTTCTATACACCAGACACTTTTACTCCCTGCAGCACTCCTAAAAAAAATAAATAAAAAATAAGTAAATTATATTATTTGTCATTTGATGAAAAACTCATTGGTGCAACTAAACTTACTTAGGCATCATTGAAGCATTAATAGTATTAGATGGAGTTTTGTATTTTGGCATTTGATCATTATGATCATTTAAAACTTCATTAATATTGAATTTTGTAAGAGACTTTACTCCTGTCTTTCTTTTATAAATTTTATTGGCTCTTTCTAGAAGTTCTACTTTATCTACTCGCGATAAATTTTGTGTGCCTAAGGCTTGTATTATTATCGAAGCACTAGCTTCCACATCTTTATAATGGACCATTTTAATAAGTGCCAATTCATTGTACCATCTTCCCTTACTTCTAGACATATGACAGTTTTGTTCTATTAAGAAGTTTAGAATTTCAATAACTCGCTTTTTGTCTTTATCTTTTTTAAACGCGTCTATACATTTTGAAAGTATTTTTAGCCATACATATCCAGGCATAAAACGTCTTACATGCATGGGAAGCGTAGAATTTTGTAGTCTACAAAATGTTTATTATTATATATTATAAATAATACTAAAGTTTATCCTCAACAAAGTGGTATATATTTTCAGGTACCTTAATGATTCAACTTTCAATATATTTGGCAATATCTCCATAGCTGAATTGCCATAGTACTGAACATTCTTCCAATCTTTTTTCTCAATAGATTGCAATGTACTAAACAACACAGATTTAGCTTGAATGTAACTGTAAGTTCAAATAAATTTAAGTACCTTTTTTATCTAACTTAGTAACATTATATTCAGGCACTACGAAAATACTCACCTTACTAAATGTAATTCACAAGAAAATATTGGAAACTGAGTAGCAGGAACATTCGGAAATTTTACTTTTTCTGTATAATTATCATAGAGCTTAAAAAATGTATCTGCTATACTCATTTTTGGAACTTGATTTGGTATCAGTAAGGTAATTATTTTGTCAATAAGATTCCATGTTCTGTCTGTTATGCGTATACAATACTCTAATATATCAAGAATGTAAGTATACAAAATATTATTAGGTTTTTTCGCTCCAGGAAACAAAGATTTATTCTTTGATAATTTTAGTAGTTTTCCTATCATAATTTCTTTTTTTCCTTTAGTATCTATCTTCATATTTTTACAAAGTTGTCGAATTTCGTCAACTTGCAGTAAATCAAGCAAGGTAGATATATTTTCAGTTTTAATCTCAAATGTGCAAACAGATTGTGAGGCAAGAAGTTTAAAAACATTGTGTAAATCTGAAGCTATTTCTGGATACTTTATATTACTTTTCCTATACCATGTTCTTTTTCTTTTTATCATACATGCCAGGAGCATTTGAGCTTCTTTAGGAAGAGTAACAATGGAGTATATGAAGTCCAATTCCTTTTCATCAAAGTAACCACAATTAATTGGATTGGAAAGAACAGTAAAAATTGTAGTGTACAAAATTTTTGATTTTAAATCATTACAGAAAATTACTTCATTTAATTCATATTTCATTGAAGTCTTAGTGTTTACGGATCCATATTGATAATCAAATGTGCCACTAGAATATATTTCTTCTAAATCAAAATTATTTTTTGGAATAGCACCTTCCTTTGCTAGATTCATATACTCAATTGCTTTTATTACAATATCAGAATCTGTAGTATGACCAAACAGTTTTTTTGGTGTTATATTTTTTGTAATTGAAACTTTTGGAGAATACTTTGACCTTTTAGATGGGGAAATGGAACCATGACAGTTTGCTGTTGGAGAATTATTACTGTCAGGAGTCCTCAATCTCTTATTTGGTGTCCTTTTTAAGTGAATATTATTATCTTTGTTTGGTGTTCTTAAACATATCTCATTATCATTTACTATTTTCTTTTTTATTATATCACTTGTATCAGTAAGTGATGACTGTACATGTTTAATACCAACCACATTTTTAGATGATTCTTCTATATCATTATTTCTACACAATGACGAATCATTCCTTTCTATTGTACCACAACTTTGAAATAGCAATTCTATAGCATCAGTATCAATGTCCTCGATTTCATTAACCTTTTCATGTCTGATTGTACAATTTGACATGCTATCAGATTGTACACTACGTTGAGACAATGAAGTATTTTGTTCCTCATTTTTCTTTTTCTTTCTCTATAAATAATAATACAAGTAAGACTAAACAACAAGTGTTATGTACATAATAATACAAACAATCGATAAGAATAAAAGAATAACTTACAATTCTTGAGTATGGGATATTTTTTAATCCAGAACTCTTTTTAACGTTAGTCATAACATTGGACCTTCGTTTACTAATTGTTGATTTAAAATATTGGTCAATGCGCTTTTGCAACATTCTTCCATAGATGTAAATTCCGTACAAATTATTTCATTGTACCTCTTATCTCTTACTTCAAATCGCTTAGAACTAAAAAGTGAATCATACTGAAGTGAATTCGGAGTTGATTTTGTTTGGCTCAGCCAGCTGATACCGGCTGATCCATTGATTATATATAGTCAAAGAGCTCATCCTGATCCCGGAAAAATGAAAATTATTCGCATATTGCACCCAGGTGGCGTAGCTCAACCATAGACATATGAAAATATAGACCGAGCATAAACTGCTACTATAGGTAAGGGGGGTCTGATATTCGGGGTGTGGTAACTAGAGAATTCTGTCACTGGGGAATTTATCTCAATGAGTAGCCATGAATCAAAGGATATCGACATGTACAATTTATTGACGAAGGATTATAAAAATATATACTGGGTGTTTAGATTCTACGGATCCATTTCCACCTTGAATATCGACATAAATAGCAGTTTAGTTCTTTTTAAACTAGTATAATTGAGCGTATTTAACTATGTATAACTTAGTACATTTAAGTTTAAAGTCTTAAACAATTAATTTACTCACAGGCCGAAGACAAAACGATGTTATTTCGTGTAGATATGTATATATTTATTAAATAAAAAAACTTAGCTAATGTAAAATGTGTACTTCGTATTTGTTATTGTACAAACTCCAGATTTATTTTAATTCCTCGGGAATGTTTCACATACAAATAACACAGTTACTGATTATTCCAATGTTTTCGCGTTATCACATTAGCTCTTATACTTTTTAGAGATAAATATTTATTGAAATATTCCATGTTATACGATTGGTAAGCGATACGATATTCAATATTGAAGTGTTCGTAATGTAAATATCACTAGAAAAGAACATCGATCGCCTCTTCGTTACAGTTTATTCAGTTCAATATTATTTATCTTCCGAGCAATTAGATGGATCTTCAGTCTATCTCGAATGTCTAGCTCGTATTATGCAACAGTAATGCCAGCTGTTTGGAGGTAGTTTCTCAGATGATTCGCGTTGGGCTCCGGAATTTGACCAAGAAGATTAGGTAATTGTCCTGGCGGCAATCTTCCTAGTCCTTGCGCCAAGTGTAGGCGTACATCACCAATTGCTATTTATTGAAATTCATCACACAACAAGATACATTGAAGAGTAACAAAATATGGTTGTGGTTATACCTTCTAGTGGATCCTTTGGAGGATTTTTTGCACAGACGAGTTGACTATATCCTACTTGATATCCAGGCGCATCGTCAATTTCTGGTAACAGATTGTCTTCCGATATTGTGCTCTGATCTTGTGGGAGTTCAAAGAATTCTACTAATGCCGCTAGTAAACGCGGATAATATGAATTGTATGGGCTTTCTAACATTTTAGGACAATCGATTAATAAATTTGAAATTCCAATAGCGGTTACTTTCTTTTCAATATCGCCCGATACTTTTTGCAAATCTGCTATTAATATACGTTCTATGACCATACCAAACATTCTGCAAAAACGATAATTATTAAGTAATTATGTTAATTACTTTCAGTTATTATATTAGAATGTAAAAGCAACGTACTGGGGTTGTATTTGATCAATGATCGCAATCAAACTAGTTGAACCGTATCTAATGATATAGTATGCAAAAAATACGATCAGACCCTTTACGAATTTCGTTGTTTTTGACGATGTGAGCCTTTGAAAGAATAGTACGAAAATTTGTTTCATATACGGCTCTAATACGTTCCTAAAAATATCAAACAAATGCCGATAAAAATGTTAAAAAGACAGGATACATTGTTATAGAAACACTTACGGTGCGAAATGTTCAATGATACTTTGCAGTAGCAGGAAACCTTCATGATCATTGGCTTTCGATGCTATCAATTTCTGAAATACTCCTAACAAACCACTTGTCTTTTCTAACGCTACAATATGATGTGCACCATGACTAATGAATGCTCTCAATAATCGATTTAACGGATGAATATTAGCTGGACGTTCGAACAGCACAGACGATAGAAGACAAGGGAACAAAGCCAAATAGGGTTCTGGTACATCCTGAGTTGTTCGTAATTCCAACAGTAGAGCAAGAATTTGAAAAACATATGGTATAAATTCTGAAAGAATGTATCAATTAAAAGTCACAATCAAATTCAATATTAAATAAAATATTTTACCTAGAATATCTTGCTGTAAAATTCCTTGGAAAATTGGGAATAATGCTTCCTCGAATGATGAAACTGCTACTGGATTTTTTTTACAAACAATCCTAAAAATAATATTAAAGTCATTTAAATTTGATTATCAATACACTCCCTTGTTTTGCTTTTGTGACATTTATAGAGCCTTACTTAATTGACAAACCAAAAATTTCAAAAAGATAATGATTGAAATTTGGACGACTGGGATTTCTGGATACAATGGTGAGCTTTTCGGTGAGTTTCGGCAAAAGATCTGCTAAAAATGGTACGACAACCTCTTGCAGAGTACCAAAACTTCTCATAATAGCTTTCATTACATATTCATTTTCTTCTGAACCAGGCATAGTTAAACACACAAATAAACTCTTTAACAGATCCGCCGCCAATGGTGATAAGTCATTTCCTTTAACACTTCAAATTAAATTTTTTAAATAACAAAACATCGATACAAGGCAGTTGTAATACGATTAAATAAAATATTAACTTTCTTACATAGGCAAATTATCAGGTCCTTTCATAATAAGTATTTTCTCAATCGCACAAGCGGCATATGTGTGAATAACAATATTCGTAGCACTTAAGTGTCTAATTAATTGTGGTAAACTTCCAATTATCATTTCCCTTGGTAATATCGATCTAAAGGTCATAATAAATTTGATTGCATCAGCTTTAAGTACTGGAAACTCGTTCACTGAAATGTATCGTCACGAATTAAATGATAAAAAAACGTTTTACAAACTTGAATAAAATTTAAGTGTGTCTACCATTTGGTTTGATCAATTCAGGTTCAATGTGTTGCATCGCAAATTGAGGTAATGGAACAAGTTCGCTACTTTGTGTAACTCCATGTTTTTGTGTTTGAGCTCTACTTGCACTGCTAGTGACTAGATAAATTGCAGCATCTTTACTTCGCCAATTTTCAATGGGTTTATCAGCATAATTTTGCAACATCACCTGAAATCGATCAATAAAAATATGATGAAATGTATATGTCAATTTTATTTGCATGCTTAAATATTACAGCAAATCTGTACCTGTATGTATGCGCCAAAAATTTCCATTATTTTCGATTCAAAAGACTTAGAAAGTACTTTAACCAAGTCACAGGCAGCACGCCTTCTCGTATCCACATCACTACCTTCAATATCTCGCCTAATGTATTCTTCAGGATTATCTTCAAATAGCTCATTATCCGATTCTATTAAATATTACATTTTTTTTTTTTACTATAAATCAATAATACTGAACATTTATAAGAATATAAAATACATTTTAAATATACTATTTTTAATAATCACCTCTAAATTCCATATTGGGTATTATTACTTTCTCACAAATGCTATTTAAAGTAGTTGGATTTTCAAACAAATGTCTGTATTGTGCACGATCTGCCACTGTTGCTAAGAATTGTAAAGCATTCGAAACTAACTATAAAAAAACAGAACTTTGTTAGAATAGTTTGCAGAAACGTGCGCTTGTACTTGATCGACATACAGAATCATATTTCGGTTGTTGTCCAGTAGATGTTAACAAATTCCACACAGCGGTTACAAACAGTGGTAAATATGATTGAAACTCTTGGTCATATTTCTGAGCATAAAGGCCAATATTATCACAAACTTGTGACTTTAATTGTTCGATTACTCCTGCTTCTTCTTCATCCTATACATGCATAAAATACTGTAACTCATAAGTATAACTATAAGGGAAAGTACAAAAGTAATTTAATATGTAACCATACTGTAGATTGTAAGAAGGGAACATTAGTATTTAACAAAGTATGAAAATTCTTCATCCAAACTTCCATATTGTCTTCAAAAAATTCTGGTAAGTCCTAAAAATATAGTAAATATGGCTTATTTAAATTTAAAAAATGGTATTCACTACGATATTAATCTATCACTTGTTTCACTCACTTGGAAGTTAAGAGAATAGAACACTTTACACAGAATTACCAATGAACTGTATATAACTTTCAGTGCATCTACATTATTTGCATGTACTTCTGTTAAATTCATTGTAGCCTAAAAAATAATATTTGATATTTGAAGAAATAATATTCTGCAACTGCATTCAAAATTTAATAATAAAATACTTACAACAAATAGATCTGTTAAAGGCTTAGCAAATTTATCTAGCACAAATTTTATTTCTGTCCATAGGCTCTGACTTTTAAACTCGTACCTATATCTTTTAAATAAAGAGTGTGCAGTATGTAGAACACCATTAATAACGTGAAAATCCCCTGTATTAAATTTTTCAACCATTTGGTCTATAAGCTCTGGCCATTTCTTTGGAAAGTCATACTTTCCGATAATAGAAACTGCATCAGATAACTGCTTTTGGATGGAATCAGGAGAGTGCAGCATCAAATTAACGATTAACTTTTTTATAGCTTCTCTGTCTTGTGTGTGTATGCGATCCACAAAGTCTTCTTCCTTCTTCCAATTACGTTTAACATAATTTTTAAATGCGACTGCACCGGCAATTCTAATGGTTATATTAATTTCAGATTTGTCTACTAAGTGCAGAAGAAGTAATGGGTAGTTCTGATTCGCTTCAACAGATTCTAAAAACTTTTCAGCTAAAATAGAAAACAATAATAATGTATAAAACAAACAGTTTAAAAGCTTTTAGCAAGATTCTTCATCCATAAGACATTTTTCATTTTAATTTTCTGATTCATGATTCTGTTACAATATTTAATTTATTTGTAGAATATTAGTTTATATATAAACTTGTTGATATATAATATATAATATGGAAGTACATTTTTTTGAAAAAATGAACCTATTAAATAAAAAAGGTAAATATGCGAAACAAATAAATAACAACAATTCAAGCTTAGAATCTTCTGTGCAAATGAGAAATATAACATGTGCTCAATAATACATAAAAAGCTCTGTAACTCTTTTTAAAAGTGTTTATATTAACAGTAGAAAGGTTATATTCACCTGGTCGTCTGACATGGAACTCTGGACTAAGTGAATGCTTTAGGTATTCACTAAGTGTGAGCAAATTGTCATCTGTGAGTTCCATGTTAGCTTATTTTAAAAATATCGTGTTTTCTCAACTCGAAAAACCATGAAATCTATGTAAAAAAATGTCCAAACAACGGAACACGCCGGTTACTGATGTACTTATTCAATGCTCTAACCAACGATTATGGCTCGTCGCCGGTTGGCGCTTTCTGCGTTTTCTGCAGAGTTTAGGCGGGAAGAATTCTTATCGAAGCAAGACATCGATATTTTCTTTTCAATTAAAAAAATGTACAAATGAAAAATATGAAATCAGAAATAAATTTAATAATGTTCTCATAACTAAAGTAACACGTATTTTATTATAGGAAAGATATATGGAAGATATCATATTTAAAAAAAAAACATGGAAAAATTTTCATTTATTGTTAGATAAAACACTTCGAATAAAAAATAACATAATAAATCAATTGATTTCAAGGAAATTAATACTCTGAAATTGATAGTCTTCATTTATGGTAAAATTTGCAGAAATATGATATTAGATGACATCGACAGAAACAGTTCCTTCAAATATGTTTCAGATAAGAAAGGGACAAGAAGGTGACGAAGAAGGAACTATTTTCATCCGTCGCCGCTGAGGGTACAACCTAATCTAATATGACCCTCTGTTGGTGTAACGAAAGTGGCGACCTTGCTAGCTACCCTTAGATTTAAAAATACTTTATGTTATTTGTAGTATTTTTCCTAAATAAGGAAAGGTACAAAAGTATGTAGCTAAAATAATGCATTATAGTATATCGAAAATTAAAATTATTTATTTACTTAACACATAATAATTACATTATAATAATAAGTATTTAACACATAATAATTACATTATAATAATAAGTATTTTCTTAACATTAATAAATTTCTTACCACAGGTACAAATTATTTATAACAATTGTTAAGCAGTGCTTTCTGCTGTTTTATTTTGTTTTCTATTATCTCCAGGGTATATTCTGCAAATTTAATTTTTTGCCCTTTATTATAATAATTACTTGCCCTGTAAGAAAAATTTAAAATAATCAATTTGCTGAAATTATAATGTAAATTATAAGAATAAAATATTATAAACTTGTAATTATAGTTATTGTGCTAACATTGTATCACGCTTTAGAGTATTAATTATTAATATTTCTTTTACATCCTCAACAGTGTTTATACAAATTGGATCATCTTGTGGTTCTAGATTTTCCAATTCTTTTGACTGCAATAGCAGTTCATGTTGTAATTTTTTGTATTCCTGCTGATAATGCTTCAAGTCCTCTGATAAATTTTGAATTGACTATAAAAAAAGACATTTTATCAATCATTTCTTATAAATAATTACGACATTGTATTTGGAAATACAATATACTGCAAAATCTTTATTATTAAACTTACGTATTGTACTTGTGCATTCATAAAGTTATCTGCGTAACCTCTATATTTGTTATGAAAATTACTGCTAAAAAGATTATAAAATTCTACAGTTAAAAAGATTTGCAATAATTGGTATGCAAATTTCCATTTTGATACTCTTTAATACTATGGAAAAATTCTTATCCACAATAATAGTGTAATTTAAAATATTAACTAAGAATTAAAAAAACCATTGTTCGAAGGAAATGTTTGTCCTCTTTAGTTTCAAGTTTCTTAATTCTTGATATTTAAAGTCAACGCCTTTTGTTGTGTCAGATAATACTTTTCTAATGTGAACTTCTTTTTTCTGTAATTCGCAATATTTGACTTGTCCTGCCCATACATTCATTGATAAGGCAGAAAAATGTGATTCCAAATAATATCCATCTCTTTTATGCTTATTAATTGCTTCCCTTACTTCCATAAGCTTGAAAAACCATAGTGAGGCAAATTTACTTATATAAATTATATATAGTTCATCTGTTTTATTTAATATAAAATATTGTATGAAGAATTAATAATTATATATACACATATATACACTGAAGAATTTCCATATATACAAATGGTACTAAGTTGAACATCTATTTCTTATAAAATTATTACTTGCTTAATTAACAAATTAATTTGATCCACTTTATTATTAAAGTCACCGCACAATTCTTCCACGCTTTCGACCAAATACTCAGCCATTGTTTTCCCTTCATTTATTAACATATTATGCATTCTTTTACAGATAAAGTGCTGTGCAGTATTGTGGGGTTTTTGAATTAAGAAAAAGCAACAAAAACTGCGCATCAGAGATGCTAGCCGGCCTGGTTTTTTCGAGCATGCGCAGTCAGAATGACAGTTAGCAGTATCGTATCCAGGGTAACAGGAGGGGTGCTATTGTTGTGGTATGCTATGAGCGTAAAATCATAAATATATTTGTCCTTATTATTTATATACTTTCCTACATTTATCCTTAAATCATGAATATATTTGTAAAATTATGCAGGGGTAATTAAGATACCCCTTTTTACCCGACATCACGGCGTCACTGCTGCGCATACTGCGACCTCTATCAAGAACTTGTTAGACTAACTAATTTAAACCAATCTAAACTACACAAATTTATGAGGGTAACATGTAATTCTATTATAATATGTTTGAACAGTTAAATCTAACATGATATTAAGGAAAATGACTTTATAAATTCTATAATGGAATATAATATTCTATATGCTATAAATATTAGTTTATCGCAATAGATTCTGTAAATAAAATACAGAATTTGTTATCTAAAGAACTAAGTTGATTGATTGAATATACATGTGAAACAATTATTTTAATGAGATACTCCCGAGAAAGGTCAATCAATAATCATTTTTCGTAGGATACATTGATCCGATATGATTTTATTATATTACACAGATAAAATTTATTTAATTTAAATATGACTTTTTGTAGATTAATACAAAATACGTATACTGATTACTGAAATAATGTAAAAAAATACACATGAATGAAGTTTATTATACTGAATGTTTTCTTCGTGTTAATTCTGGAAATACCTCATACATCACAACTTCAAAGATATCCTGCAACAAAAAAATTAAGTGTACAATAAGTAAAATGTAAACCATACTAGCTTACTCATGTAACAATAACTTACATAAAATAACTGTTTGTTTAAGTTCGTATTCTGCAAAGAATCAAACACTTTGATTGCACCACGTTGAGCACTTTGCGCGCCTACTAAATTTGTTAAAACTTCAGGTACATTATTTAAGAATTGTCTCCGAGCTTCACCTCGAGTTCTTAATTTTTCTTCATCTGTACGAAAAGTTGTCTCAGAAACTAGATGGCCATTTGGCCACCAAGACTTCATAAACAATTGTATATAATAATGAAGCATCGGTTCTGAGAATACCCACGCAATAGTGTCCCTAATTTGTCTAAGAATTACATTGATAGTTGTATTTCGAATGTTAACAAGATATTTTTAACCTTTTGCACTCTGAGCTATTTTATTGGAAAATATGCAAATGATTTTTAAATTTTACGTTCACGTAAGTTTATTCTGGATAATCAGTAATAAAGTTTGCTAGATTTCCGATGACCGCTCAAAGGGGACTTTAAAGTGCCAAAGGTTATATTAGGAATATTTAGGTTATATAGGAAAACTTTATTAATATACCTATTGATAGTTCGGCCATAAGTAATTTGGACAAAAGTAATTAACGAACGTCGAAGCCAACGAAATACACCTCGTAAATCAAAAATTTCACCCAAAAGCGTATAGAGAGGTTCTGCTATTGCATCTTTGTTAACGCTCAAGTATCCATCTATAACTGATCGACTACTATCAGTATCGTCTAATAATAACGAATAATCTTCTTCATCTTCTTTATCACGAAGTTCACTGCTATTAGTAGATCTAAAATAAATGTTATAAATTAAATTTGTAAAGAATGCAGTGATAAATAAAATACCTACATACGTTTTGAACAACGTTGATAAAGAGAATCGCGATTTTTTAGGAGATGGAGGTGCATATTTTAAATGCTCGGAACTCGGACTAAGAAATGTATATAAAGCCTCGCTTTGATTCAGTTTTTCATCCTCTAAAACAAACTGAAAAAATTAAATATAATTTTTGAAACATCTAAAACAATCCTTTATTGTATAGAGGCAATATTTAGGAAATTTACATTTAGATATTTCTGTATTTGCATTCTATCCTTGTCCAAACTATTTTTATCGGACTTTCCGAAGAACTTCAAAGGTTGCGATGGTAAATCTAAATTTTTTACGTTAGGACAAAGTTGACGAAGTTTTCTGTGTAGGTCTTGAAATTCCTGTAATTTTCTCAATACTACCCAACCACTACATATACTATCATTGTTACCTTCATCTTGCATCATGTGGACAACCAACACATATTGTGGAGATTCTCCATTGTCTGGTATCTATTTAGGAATTATAGTTGCAATTAAAATGATTAATTAACAATGAGGATTTTGTATTTGAATTTATATTGTTTTCCTTTTTAAATTTTAATAAAGAATAATTTAAAGTTTACCTCAGCACTTTGTACTTCTGCTCTCCAGTGACCTAAATGCTCTGCCCACATTTCTGTGTGGGTTAAATGTGCTTCTAATTGTCTTTTCTCACTTTGTAACCATTCAACCTCTTTAGTTAATAAATTCAAAACTTTGCTTTCTGGTTTTAACGAGGATTTTAATGCTTGTAAAGCCTGCATTTTGTTGTTTAATTTTTCTTGCAGCTGATCCAACTTACAGCGAGCATAGTTTGAATGTTCTCCAACAAGTAGAGACACATTTTCTGATAATGTTCCATTTGTCATACGACGATCTTCTATTAAGTCTAAAAATCAATTTATGACAAGAATTTAGTACACTGTTACATTAGAAATAACAGTTTTTAGTAAATAATATGGTATTTTTAACGATAACGGTAAGAGATGTATACTAACCTTCTGTTCTTTCATTAAGTAATGCTTCTTGCATATTTTTATACTGTTCGCTAACCACAAATGATGGATAATATTTGTCTTCCAAAGTTTTAACAACACTATCTTGAACCTCATAAAATACATTTGGCCCTATATCACCCAGTAAAAAGCTTTCCATTTTTTTCCGAATAGCTCTATCCACTTTTATTTCAGCGGTAGGAGACGTAATATATGTATAAAAGATTTCAGCACCTAATTGATGCCAATTGAATTTATCTGCATTGCGTAGTTCTTGTACAGCTGCCCAATACCCGATCAAATCTTGACTAGCAACTTGTTCAAGAAACTGTGAAAGGTATTTTCGACCTATTACATTATCCAAAATATATTGCAATGGCAATATCCGTTCTTCTGCAATTACTGCAGAGTCAGGTACATCGGTAGCCTACAAAACATTATTGTTAAATATATTTGATACTGACTTATACCTAACAAAAGTATTTTTGTAACCTGAACAGGATATCCATTCCATCCTAATGTTTGCATGTGACATTCACATGTATCTTTAGCATATGTCAATTGACTGATGTACCTCTTCAATTTTCGAGCTTGAATAACATCAGATTTTCCAAATGCATTATTGTCTGGATCTAAACCTTGTGCTCTTTTAATATTTTGTATTGTTGTAGCTTGCATAATTTCGGTAACAATATTGTATCTAATATGCTTAAGAACTTCTAAATCCTTGGAACTTTTTATCATCCGAATAAAGTCTTCAAACGATTCTGCATATTCATAAGTTTTCCTATGCATAGCTTCTGCAAGTTGTTGCTGATCGATATATGATAAAATTTTTTGATTGATATAGTCTGGATCTGTTATTAAATCTATTGCTGGTTTTAATACTAAAAATATACAAGGTATAAAATAAATTGTATAATGCATACACAGTTGTATGATTGAATAGTTCTATCTATTAAACTTACTTTTACATGCAAGAATTTCTCTCAGTAAATATTTCATTGGTGCAAGAGAATAACAACGTGGTAATAAAAATAAAATGTATAATTCACTGACTTTTCTTAAGTAATCTAACTCAGATGTAGGTGACATTAAATGTGCTGATAAAATAAATACAGGATCTTCGCCTTCTGACCTATTCATATTATAATATTTATTCTACAAGTTATTTATGAAAACGTACCCAGAAAAAAAAATTTCCAAAATGGAAAACTTTTAAATATATTCTAAATATAATTTCACACTTCTTATACCCTTTTTTTTTGTTAGAAATTGTTCTACATTAACCCTAAGACAACTGAGTAGGATTCATCAAGGATCTCACCATTTTGTTCATAACTCATTGACTTAATTCAGCTAATACTTGAAAGACAATTTTCTCTTTTAACATCTTTAATACGATACCATGATTATAAGTTTGAAAGTTATTTTAAATTGATTGAAATTAAATAATTTTGATCTGCGGCTAATTAAAGGTCCCATTTGGTATTTTACACATTCAACACATTGTATGCCAACTCAAACAAGTAAATTTATGAATTCCATGTAGAGACAGATTTAGATATAAGCTAAATAAACTATAGTTAATGGTTTTACATTTTAGAAGCCTAAGTAGTTAAGCCTATTCAGGAAGAAAGTCATTCAATGTATATAATTATTTTTATTGAGATTAGTCAGGGACCATTTGATATAAAAAAGATCATGTAGTCATCTTAGAGTTAATTAAACGTTAATGTAATAAATACAATATACAAGTTATAAATGTAATATTCTTTAAAAAAGTACTGGGTATGGTTTTGGATATAAGTATATAGTAATTAAAAAAAATTTATTGAAACTTACGAAGCAGCTTGAGCAATCCTAATTTTTTCGAAATGAAAAGTAATTTTATTTACAATATTATAAACGACTAGTTTCGTATGATCTACTTTTGATAAGCGATCATGAAGGCTTTGAATTGCACCCCATATATCTTGTTTCATATTGTTTACTATTTGTTCAGACTTAAAAGCCAATTCATCAAGCCAGACTCCAACAAAGTCTTGAAATACTAAATCTAACAAATTTTGCAGTGCTCCATCTACCATTCGAGTAAAAACCATTGGGTAACGTGTATGTTTTTTGGTACTTGAAGTTTGAACCACATATCCTTCCTGAAATGTTATTAGTATATCAATTATTATCTGTAAAGGAAATTTTAAGTAATAACAATTGTATCTCAATAAAAATATATGTCAATTTCTGGATTAAAATACTTATCAAGGAATGAAAAGGATATTTTGATAAGAACTGAATGTATACTTCTAAATGTACATTGATAAATGATATATTACATAGATTACTATTTTTATAACAGCTGATATCTTTATCTTATCTATATATGTATAAACAGAAAAATGTATACAACAAAGAAGCGTTAATGTCACATTCTATATAGCAGATTCAGCTTTCTTTTCAATACGATTAAAAACTGTATTGATAAAAACATATGCATACATGTTTCAAAAGTATTATAACCATTTTCAATAACTTTTAATAGTACATACCATTAATAAATTATGAAAAGCATCCATCTCCGCAACTGTTTTTAAAGTGCCTGCACCAGTTTGATGTTTCGGAGACAGAGCAATATTTATGAACATAACAATTAAACATCCCAACAGGAAACAAGATACGGTTAACACACCGAAAACGTAGCACCATAACAGATTATTCCAGTAGAAGAAAGCAGTAACAATTGGAATACACAGAATACCGGTCGGTACCATTTTGTATTAGTAATTCTAATCACATGACAATTGATATTACATTTTCAATTTTACATTTATGAAACCGTTCCACTTAAGATAAACGCTGAATGTCACTGACAAGTGACAACATCTGATACCGCCATTGTAAATCAACTGAAATCACCAATGATTACAGAGTTTAACAGAGACGAAACTCTTGCAGTGATCCCAGCATAGCATCAATGAAGTATACGCACTTCTAAAAAGGGGTATCTTAATTACCTTTGCATAATTTTATAAATATATTCATATATTGAGGATAAATATAGGACAATATACAGGGTGTCCCAAAAATGTTGTAGCACCTTGAAAGAGGTGGTTCGGGAGGTGATTTGAAATAACTTTTTCCTTAGCGAAAATGTTGTCCGAGGCTTCGTTGAGGAGATATTAACGGAAAACACTGACCAATCAGAGCGCGAGTATACTAATGGAGTGGCCGCGGTAGCGAATGAGCGCGGCCGCCTAGCGCGTAGCCTACGCTCAACCGGCATATTCGCGCTCTGATTGGTCAGTGTTTTCCATTGATATCTCCTCAACGAAGCCTCGGACAACATTTTTGCTAAGGAAAAAGTTGTTTCAAATCATCTCCTGCACCACCCCTTTCAAGGTGTTACAACATTTTTGGGATACCCTGGATTCATGATTTCGCGCTCATAGCCACAACAATAGCCATAGCACCCATCCTGTTATCGTGGATACGATACTGCTAACGGTCATTCTGGGTGCGCATGCTTGAAAAAACCCGGCCCGGGTTCGTGCGGGGCCAGATCGTACGTGTCGTTGGTGGCAGTTGGTGGCTGTAGGTTGTACTAGGTTATGTTTTAGTTTCGATGAGTTTTGTTTTGGAAGTATTATTAATAAAAACAAAATATCTGAATGTTCTGATACAGAACGGTAATTAAACATGAAACGAATAAAACTTAAGCCAAAGAAACCCAATCCATTGTTTGAGCTTTGGTTGGAAGAATGGAGGAAAGAGGCTGCATCGAAAAGATCCGATTTACAATATCCTCTTTCGAAAGCATTAGCTTCTTTAAAAAAATATCCCTTGCCATTAAAATCTGGCAAAGACTGTATAATATTGCAACATTTTGGCAAAAAATTGTGCTTGATGTTAGATAGAAAACTTGAAGAGTATAAAGCTCTGAATGAAGGATCTATAGATCCTGAAGATATTGTTTGTTTACATTGCGATTACAATGAGGAACGTGCGTCTAACAAAAAGCATAAATCACCAGAAATTACAAAGAATATTCAAAGGGTAAGTGCATTTATATAATAATTTAATAGAATTAATTTAATACGCTCTTTTTTTTATTTTAAGACAGAACTGGCAGTATTTGAAGAATTAGATTTATCATCATGGAATCTGCAAAAGTATGCCATTGTATTGATTTTATATAAGAAAGCACAAAAATCTGGTTCTCCAGGTATTATTCAAATAATATTTTTAATTTTTGCAGCATTGACTCTTTAATGTTAAACTTATATGATTATTGTCATTCTGCTAGGGTTTATGAATGAGGTAGAATTGCTAGATGAAGTAGAAGAATTGTGTGATCATCGATCAAAAGTTTCAATTACAGATTTATTTGATATTGGTTTAATTTCCATGAGAGGTGCACCAATTAGGTAATTAACTGACATCGGCGATAATAGCAAATTTTATATTTATAGAACTGTATCTCCTATAGGTATAACCTTACAGAACATGGAGTAAATATTGCAAAGAAGATATGTGAAATCACTGATATTGATGTAAATTTAATTAATTCTTCTGATTTAAAGAAAATTCAAACATGTTCAAAATTATTGTTTACACAGAAATTAAATAAAAATACAGAAAGTCCTAATGACAGAGATATAAATATAGAAACAGCTGAAGTATGCTATGAAAATACACAGCACAGTTTAAGTAAATTTCCACAAATTTGTAAATCTCCAACTGTAGAATTTGTTGATGATGAAAGAAATACTGAACAACCTGACAAGAGTCCTGTAAAACAGAAATCTAAGGAAAATAATACTGACATAAGGAAACCACAAAAAAAATCAAAAGAGGTTGAAAGTTGTATAAAAAATCATACTGATAATCTTCAAAGAAATATCTATTTAGAATCAAATAAATTTGATATAATACTACTAGTTGATACACAAGAAACTTGTGGGTACGTTTTACTTCATAAACTTTCATATGAATATGTTATGAAGTTAAAAAAAAAATTATTTTAGTGTTAAAACAAAATCACAACATGACGCTACAAAACGGGAATTATCAGAACTTAATACATTGTATGAGGTACGTCATTTAAAAGTTGGCGACTTTGCATGGATTGCCAGATGTAGAACCACAAAAAATGAATTGGTTCTACCTTATATAGTAGAAAGGAAGAGAATAGACGACTTGTGTGCAAGTATTACAGATGGAAGGTTTCATGAACAAAAGGTAGTACAATAATTATTTCTAATTTGTTGTATTTATATATTTTTAAATGATCCTACAGAAAATTGTCTCACACAGTTTCGATTGAAGCAATCTGGTATTGAAAATCTTATGTATATAATTGAAGAGTATGATAAAGGTCAAAGATTAACAATACCACATTCAGCACTGATGCAAGCTTCTATTAATACTCTAATACAAGACGGATTTTCGGTGAAATATACAAAAACCCATAAAGATTCTATGTTTTATTTGTCATCATTAACAAGAATTTTAAATAAAGTTTTTAAAGTATGTAGCTCGTGTTAAGAAATTATTTCAATTTAAAAAATTAATGTACTCTTTCCTGAACCGATTTTCTTTTCTTTTAGAACAAAAATTTGGAAAGCTGCAAAAAGGAAGCTCTTACGCAAATCGATATTTCGAATGATACTATCAGTCTTATGGAATTTAAAGAGTTTAATAAAGCAGCATCTAAGCAGAAGGTATGAAATTTTTATATCATACGATAAATTGAGTAATGCTTGTGCAACTAAACATTTTACTTTTTCAGATGTTTAAAGTAAGCGAAATGTTCATTCGTCAACTATTACAATTAAAAGGAATATCTATAGACAAAGCTTTTGCAATTGTCGAATGTTATCCAACTCCACGAACGTTATTTGATGCTGTACAAGAATCCGATTGCAACGCGGAGTCCTTATTATCGAGTATCCAATTTGGAAGTAAGAAACGTTTGATTGGTGCAGGAATTAGTAAAACACTTTATCAATTATACACAATGAAAAATCTAAATTGATAAATAATATTTTACGTGAGCATGAGTAATAAATTATTATCATTCGAATTTATACTAAAGTTTATTAAAATTAATTATATTTATACATATAATTATGAATTTTATATCATGAAGATGTTTAATAAAACAATAAAATTTACCAGCTACAATTTTATTATTCCTCAAAGTATAATTAATAGTTACATCTTATAACATATGCATTTTTTTCGTAACCACGTGCAAAACAAAGTTTTTTAAAATTCAAATTAATAAATGTTTTTGGATAACTTGTGAGAATTGGTAGCTGTTTATAACCATCTAGTGGTGAGTAAGGTAAATGTTTTCACACGCGACAGTTAAACCTGAACGCGCAACGAGTTGCTACCCAGTATCGAACTCCGCATCGCAAGCCACGGTTACAAGCGTACTCGGGAGTTTGTTGTTCCCTTGTCCCGTGTGTTACATGTGTTTATATTGGTTTTTTGTGTAAAATCTATCAAATTTTCACGATGAGTGCCGAGGAAGAAGTGCTGCGGATTCAGAAGAAATTGAACAAGATGTCGAGCGGTGACGGGACGGTGAGTAAGTGAGTAAAATAAAGATAGTTGTGTATCGTTCGACACATTAGAGCTGCTTACCGAAAACGAAGCTCTCTTTCAAGTTACAATACGATTATTACGATATTGTTTAAACGTTCAACGTGCGCGATTGTATTATTGAAAACAATTTTTGTTTAGGAGGGTAATATTCGTGTGTTCGTTTTTTCTGTGTATAATCGGTGTTTGCGTTATCTAAGGTACTCGATGTATTGTAGAGCTTAAATATCTAGTATTCTAATTTTAACACCTTAATGAAATTTTGCAAAGGTTAAATCAGATTCTCATTATAAACTTTATTTTCGTATGCATTGCATATTCCATTACCTATTTTAGAGGTAAACTCATTATTAAAAATGTTATGTTGTGTTAATTTAGCATTAAAAAATGACCTACTCTGTACTTTGAATGTGTTTATGTAAATTATTGTTCAGGTAAAATTATCTGTTATCAGTACAAACTATATAATTGAATAAAGTTAACCATATGCGTTTTAAAAATAAATGCATGCAGTACGAATATATTAAATTACATAATAAATAACGATAAAAGGAAAAAGAATAAATATCTTTAAGTCTAAATTTGTTATACCATAAGAAGTATTAAGTTGTGATATATATAATTTATATTATAAAATATCAATGACTTATCCTTATTTATATTTTGTTTCTTTGCATTGAATAACAATAAATATTTTAATTGCAGGGTCAGGAACAAGCATTGGAGTTACTCAAAATATTACAGAAGTTACCCGTTGATTTAGAACTTCTGACTAAAACACGTATCGGTATGACTGTAAATGCATTAAGGAAATCAAGCAGAGATGAAGAAGTTATATCGTTATCCAAAACTCTCATAAAAAATTGGAAGAAATTTTTGTCTGGTAAGGAAATAAGTTTATTAAAATAAAAATGATGATTCATTAAGTAAATTGAAATTATACATTAATATATTTCTTCATTTAGGATCCAATAAAGAAAAGGATTCTACTTCCTCGAGCAGTTCAAAGAAGAGAGATGACAAATCAGAGAAAAATAAGGATGATGGAGATCAGAAAAAAGATAAAGATAATATGGATGGAACTGATGTTAAGATGAAAGATGATAAATCTCACAAAGATTTTCAAAGGAAACAATCGACGTTCCCTGCTCCTACTACAACAGATGCTGTTAGACTCAAATGTAGAGAATTATTAGTATCAGCTTTAAGGGTTGATGGAGGTGCTATGGAAGGTTGCGCTAGTCCGGAGGAATTGGCTGAAGAATTGGAGGAAGCTATTTATGCAGAATTTAAAAATACAGATAACAGATATAAAAACAGGGTAAATTTTCAGTTTTTGTATATTTTCGAATTTCTGCGTAAACGAGAAATGTAATTTTGTATGTCTTGTTTAATTCCCTAGGTGCGTAGCAGGGTTGCTAATTTACGCGATGCTAAAAATCCTACTCTTCGAACTAACTTCATTGCTGGTGCAATAACTCCTGCTCGACTTGCCGTTATGACTGCAGAAGAAATGGCGAGCGATGAGATAAAACAGTTAAGAGAACAATTTAAAAAGGAAGCAATCAACGATGCGCAACTTGCTACAGTACAAGGAACGAAAACTGATTTATTAAAATGCGGAAAATGCAAAAAACGCAACTGCACTTACAACCAAGTACAAACGCGTTCAGCTGATGAACCTATGACTACTTTCGTGCTTTGCAACGAATGTGGAAATCGATGGAAATTTTGCTAAATACCATAGCTCTCCACAGTTTTGTCTCATCACCATGAAGGGGAAAATGTATTTCATTCAAGACCTGCCTATTAATCGACACGTATTAGATATAACAAAGAAGCAAGAAAAATATACTACATAACATTTGCGAGTCACAGACTGTACATTGATCGCTTAATGATTTTTTTTTTTAATCACTTAAAGAACTCTGTTTCCATGCAATTGTATATACTGAAATTGTAATTGACTAGACCTCAGCTTTTTAGAGTGTACATCAAACCTAATGGAAAATTCAATAAGTTAAATGGGTCGAGAAGAAATAATTTTCAATTGTATTAATGACAGCACTAGTGCTATTTGAAACTTCACGTGCAAATGATACTAAACTGAAAACAACGTTTCACTTTGCATTGAACAAGTTTGCATAATATCTTACGTATGACAAAGTTCTGAATTGTGGGTACAGTTCTGAAATACATGTATCTGATTACGGTGTAGTATTTTTGCAACCCTTTATTACAATATAAAAGTCAACATTTCATTTTTAAGACTGAATATAATATGTAGTACAGAAGTACAGAATTTTTGTTTCGTAATTTTGGAGTTTAACGTGTTTACATTATTTAATCCATTTGGGAGTAGAGTTGGATGAAACTTTAATTCGATTGAAAATATTCAATTTTAAAGTGTAGATTCGCGTATAGATTCTTTAAATACACCGATAGTTACAGATCAGTTGAGAACATTTTTATCGTAAATTTAATAGTTTTTGCGATTTACCGTAAGGTGTCGCCACTGCAACTCGATTGTTCTGGGCGTATACAACAATAATTTCTAACCTAATATTAATGTGTCATTCGTGTTACTGTGTACTGCATAACTTTCATTCAGTACGTACTTTTAACGGTTTCACAAGTTATTTGTTAGTAAACTTACGCAAGGAAATGAAGTTACATTATTCCATGTGCGTTTAATGACAGCGTACAAATACATATATAGTAAAGTTATTTGTCGTGATGTAACTTTAAAATGAAGTATTTCGGGGAATTAATAGAAGACTCAATGAATATCTACGGTAGCATAAGTTAGCATTTGTACCGTTAGATACTTTAGAAAGGCATTTTATCGAGACTACGATAACTATTGTTAAAGCATAGATCTGCATAGAAAGCAGATGTTTCTCGACCGTCATTATGTGCGAGGACGCCCATATTAAAGAGCAATGGCAACTTTTACAATGTTTACGAACTACCGTAGAATGTTTATTAGTCGATGGTGTTTTAAACGTGTGGAATGTTTACGGTGGTTTAAATCGCCTTCACAATATAATGGAGCGGATATTCAAACATGGCTGTAGAATATTTAATCGAAATGTAAGTTGACGTTCTCATTTGTTTGCTTATGATACGAATTGACTTGTATCGATAACAGTAATTAACAATATTTTCTTTTTTTGCATTCTCTAAAAATGTAAGTTTTCATAATGTGATAGTGCACTTGAATATAATTATCTTATTGCATTGTCGGTAACATTGTTTCGCTTTTGTTTTTATCGATGTTGTTTTGTTTACTTGCATTTTTCGTGTATAACGAGTAACTGATATAATGATGGCAATGAGAAATAATATTATAATGCAACACTGATATTAGATCTAGTTAGAAATAATATTTTTTCTATAAGGGAGAACCAGATTGTTGGATCTTTATTCAAGGGTTAAATTGGTTGCAACCTTCCTTAGCAGTGTCTCCGGTATTGTCTGAAGTAGAAGATTATCTTTCAAATTTACCAGCACGAATAACATCACAAAAAGATATGTTATGGCTATATAAAAGGTAAATATTAAGTTGTACACCTCTGATTTAACATCTAAGTTCCTCTAAATATGTATTACTTTTATATCACGATACATTTATATATTAAAGCTTACATAATACAATTTAAAAATTATTATAATGTAGCTTGGAGAGTCATTCTTTGTCGCACAAACTTTCCTGGCTTTTGTCTGACAAGGAACACTTACTTTCCTGTTTTGAGCCATGGGCATTTTTGTGTCAAGAAAACTTAGCCGAAGCCACGTTATTGTGTTTAAGGGCAGTTGAACGAAGTCAACCTGTGCTACTTACAGAGATTGATCCATCTTTGGTGAGCTTTTTAGGCAAAGCTAAATTTAATCTATTATTTTGTTTAAATCTTTATGTATCCATTTTTTGTTATAGTTTCTGCCTTCTTGGATTTCTCCCAAAACAAGTCCCAGAAGACATCAGAGATCTTCTTCATATCCAATTAATTTCCCTACCACAAATTTCAACATAGCTAGAGATAGAAGCATACCTATTGAAAAATATCAGTTAGAACCATTGAAAATATCATCGGATAATATAGCTATTCAGCATAATGATACCAAATCTGAAGAAAATCATCATGAAATAAATTCCAAAGAAGTTCATGATATACCTTTAAGAACTTGGAATAGTGTTTCTTCATTGACTAAAAATTATAATATTCCTGGAATAAATTTACCTGCACCTTCGTTAGCTACTGCAGACGTTAGTTCAAATAAAAGCAGCAAATCTCAAACCTGCTCAGTTGAATTGTCAAAAATAATTGATGTGAATTATGCCGATGTAACGCAATCCATGTCTACAGTCCTGAATAATAAATTACTTACTAGGCCAAGAACTCCTTCAAGAAAGACAAAACTCAAAGTTAAAATGAAACAAAATCAAATTGCTGATAAATTCAGCGAGGGTTCTGATTCGTTAAATAACGACGACTCATTAGTAAATACAGTAATGGAGTATCATATTCCACCTCTTGCATCAAACGAAAGTAGCACAAGCATT